ATGCAAATGAAAATATTCGAATGAACACAATCATTAAAATAGCAAACAGTTTAAATGTTTATTGATAAAGCTATATAAGTGAATATCTGATTCTGTATGATATTTATTATCTTTGACGAAGTATATTTTGTAGATAATTGAAAAGTAATGATTAATGTATTTTAAAATAATATAGAAACAAAATGAACGAGAGAAATTTATACACAGTTCAACAAGAGTCCAATAAATCATCAAATACATTCAGCAAACTTCAGAAGTGAAAATCTCAAAATTACGTTTCGTACTATTTTCGAGTTCACTACCGATTAAATGGTATCTTCATGGAAAAAATGTTTTCGACAATGTTCAAAAAATACAATCACGGAAGCGCCAGGTTCTTTTTAGAAGACATGGCAAAAATTCATAAACTTGCATCGGATTCAGGTGTCCATAAGTGTAACATGCAGAGACTAGATGAATCTCACAGATTCATATCAATAGTTCTAGTTCAGTACAGTGATAGCAGGGATTTTCGAAAGATTTTTTTGAAAACCATTGCGACAGCGGCAGCGGCAGATTCTCAATCGTGATGGACATCTATGATATAAATATCACAGCGTGTACTCAAAAATTCTTTCTATTACGAAATTTCATGTATATTCAGTGGTATCATTGCAATGCCTGGATAAAAGAAAGTTCTTTCATTTACATCGCGTTAGTTTAGAAACATCGTTGACGTATTAAATATCTTTGTTGCAAATCAACACATGTTGAAAATCTTCTTCATATCAATCGATTACGATTTTACTTTTAGTCACATAATTTAAGTGAGATAACGAAGAAATGGACAGAAATAATCTTCATTATACGAAATCTGTGTGTTCAACCACTAGTGACATCTATTTAATAATTCTCGTTTTGAGAAGACGCAATGAATAAACTTTTCAAAAAATTATTTCTAAATAAAATTTTCTATCTCATAAAATTATTATTATTTCAATAAAAAACTCACAAGAGGATATCATCCGACAATAATGGTTAAAAGGGGTCAGTTATCTATCTTACTCAAACAGGTACACATAAGCATGCCTAAAGTCATGAAAAAGAAATGAAATCTTTTTTTTTCTTTTTGAATAAATTCCACACTTATTAAAACAAAGTGTCTTCTCAGTTTAGAGTAAGTTTTTTTTCTTTCTTTTGTAGTGCCTATGAAATAGAATCAATTCAACACAACATAAGCATATCTTTTGCATGTGCGTGGTATATCTTTTTTTTTGCTAAACACTATTCTTTTGCTTGATATCAGTATCTTTTGATATATATTTATCTTTGTAGTAATAAAAAATAAATTTTCTTATAGATCATTTGTCGATTTTTTTTTCTTCAACTATTCTGGTTTGCTGTTATCACCGTTCAATTTCATATGGCGCAACCGAGTCGTGCTCGCGTTTACGCCGATTGCAATACGCATCGACCACGGTAATAAGAAGATTTTCAATATTTTATATTTTTAATAAATGAATTTTTATTTAGCGAATACTACGACTACGAGCTGCATGTTGTCGAGTGGGGGTATGTATTCATATAATGATAATAAAAACAACAACATAATTCATAAATTTTTCTTTGTTTGTTGTCAGCAATCAAGATGATTATCAGATCGTACGTAAACTTGGTCGTGGAAAATACAGTGAAGTATTTGAAGGTATCAATATAACAAATAATGAAAAAGTTGTTATCAAAATTCTCAAAGTAAATAAATAGAAAAAAAAGAAAAAAAAAGTAAATAAGTTTTACGTCGTGTTTTTTTGTTTTTTTAGCCAGTTAAAAAAAAGAAAATCAAACGTGAAATAAAAATTTTAGAAAATTTACGTGGTGGACCTAATGTTATTACGTTGCTTGATATTGTCAAAGATCCTGTTGTATGTTTATATATATATATATATATTTGTTTTTTCTTTGAAAATTTATTTGGCTTTTTTTTACTTTGTATTATAGTCAAGAACACCTGCTCTTATTTTTGAATATGTCAATAATACTGACTTTAAAGTAATGAAAAATTTTGGTATAAAATATAATCAACAAATATTTATATTTTATTTAGCAACTTTATCCTACTCTTTCCGATTATGACATTCGATTCTATATGTATGAATTACTAAAAGTATGTTGTTGATTGAATTCAAAAAAGTGAATGAACTTTATGTATTTAAGAAAAACATGTTTTTCTAACATACGAATCCGATAGAATATTATTTACAAAAGTTATTAGCACAATTCCTATGGGATTAAAATGTGAAAGGCGATGTAGCTAATTACCAAGGGATTGCTTCATTCTATCTATTTTAAGATAGATGTCATCGTTATTCTTCCATTTAATCCTGCAAAAATGCAATAAGGAAGTAGCTCATATATTTAGTGATATACGGTCTGTAATCGTATATTTCTACGTACGACGCAGGAGTTCAGTTTTTAACCCCTATACTTCAATATTCCTTTTAGATCGTGTTTTACAAACAACTTGTTATATTATTAAGACAATTTAATGAATGGAAATATTTCTGAAAGAAATCAACGGATATCATTGTGATTTATAACTAAAG